CCTCTTTAGCCATGCGAATCTGGTGACACCCGGAATATGCATCGAGGAAGCACAAGAGACTGCATCCCGTCGTCGAGTCCACAATCTGGTCGATGTGGTGCAAAGGAAAAGGGTCCTTGGGGAAGGCCTTGTTGAGGTCAGTGAAGTCCACGCACATCCTCGGCTTGCCGTTGGCCTTCAGGGTAATGACGGGGTTGGCAAACCACCTGGGGTGGATCACCTCTCGCATGAAGCGTGCCTTCCATAGTCTATCCACTTTTGCTAGAATGATATCTTTTCGTTCGAGTGCTTGTCGGCATGTCTTTTGCCATATAGGCCATGCGCTTGGGCACACAAATAAGCGATGCTCGATCGCGTCCCCGGGGACCCCAAGAATATCCAACAAAACACGCCCAACACGCTTTCCTATCTAGCAATGAGTCGGTTGCCAATTTGGGCGTTCCTCACGGGATCTTGTTATATGGACCAGCCCATCAAACATGTTGTCTTATTCCTTAATTAGAGTCATAGTTGATTAAGCGTCTTTGTTAGGAAAGAGTCCAGTCGGTTTAGAGATTGTATTAGAGTTTGAATAGATTTCCGACTTGTTGGACAAGTCTTGTGTATTATATGAAGGGTCAGACCCCTCTCAATAAAGCAAAGAAGAATATGGTCGTTAAATTTTATCTACTTTTCAGTAATTAGGGTTAGGTCAGTAGTAGGTCTTCCAATTTTGTATCAAATCCATCTAGATGGCGGACAAAGAAATCGAGATCAAGATTGTGGAGCGAATTAAGATCATCACGAAGCAATTGGAGGCCTTCGCACTCCAACGAGTAGAGGTCCAGACGCTCCTCGCCGGGCTAGTGCAGCGCTTGCAAACGCTCAAGCAACGATTGATGGACTTGCACCCACCTCCAGATTCCATGACTACAGCAGCCGCTTTTGAAGGCCAGGCCCTCCTCGCCGGTGACGACTCGCCCCTGGTGCTACCCCTCGCGAACAGCGCCTTCGGAATTCCCTTCTCCAGCGGGGGAATCGTCGCCGCCGCCAGACCTTGCCAAGCAGATTGCCCACCCCCACCACCCCGTCACTTTTGCTACCAACCACCATCAGCCACCGGCTTTTACCACTTCCAGCCATCTCCTTACTCATCGCAGCCACCCTCTAATATCAATCTGGACCATTTGGCACCCTGGCCCTACACCCCAAATCCCACCCCAATGTTGCCACCCACCTACCAACAGCAGCCCTACCATAAGCAGTAGCAGCAGAAGATTTTCACCACCGCCTCTGCCATCTTCATGTCTCCACCTGCCAACCGATTTCATACGTCGCTGGTTGCGCCCCCTGCACAAGCCATCTGTGGATCCACCCTGCCCATCTGCTCCCTTTCGCTCCAACCTAACAATCACCTCGGCTCAGGTTTCGGTTCACGTGTACCTCACTTCCACAAGCTCGACCTCCCTACGTATGATGGTTCGGTCGATCCTCTGAGTTGGCTCCATAGGTGCGAGCAATTCTTTCGTTCACAGTGCACGACCGAAGCTGACAAGGTCTGGACTGCAACGTACCACCTCACCAATGACACTCAGTTCTTGTACTTACAACTCGAGCGCGATTTCGGCATGCCAACATGGGAGCAGCTCAAGGAAGCTTGCATGTTCGGTTTGGGCCATCACTCCGCACGAAATCCTTTGAGCGAGTTAGCACGTTTGCCATTCACTTCCTCGATTGTCGACTAGACCAGCAAGTTTCTAGCGCTCATGTGGCGCAACAATGAGCCGGGAACACTGTCCCAACAATGGTTTCTGTACACAGCAGGGTGCCCGATGGTTAAGCGACCATCTAACCTCAACACCGCAACCTCCTTCGTCAAGGCCTATGATCAGAGGCATTTCCCTCCAACAATGTCACCACACTAGCCTTCTGGTCCTACCGGGCTCTTGTGCCCCTGCTATCTTCCTGCGATAAACACAGCTATAATACCTTCCCCACCAGCGCCACTAACATGTTTTGTCATCAACCACTCCAAAGCCAACCCCACCACAATAGGTTCAGTGCCTCACTACTACCGAGTTAGCAGAACGTCATCGCCAAGGCCTTCAACTGCAACAAGATTTATGTTCGGGGCCACCGGCGTGTGCGGCTCTTCTTCATCAAGGCTGATAACTATGATCGATAGCTCCACATATGGTAGCACCCAAGGCAAGTGGCAACCTATAGCTTGCGGACAAGCTACTTTTTAAGGGACAGATGTTATGTGGACGATCCCATCAAACGTGGAGTCTTATCCCTTGATTAGAGTAATAGTTGATTAAGCATCTTTGTTAGGAAAGAGTCCAGTCAATTTAGAGATTGTATTAGAGTTTGAATAGAATTCAGGCTTGTTGGCCAAGTCTTGTCTATTACATAAAGGCGCCGACCCTGTCAATAAAAGCAGAGAAAAACATTGTCGTTTACTTTTATCTACTTTATAGTAATTAAGGTTAGGTCAATAGTAGTTTCTTTAGATCTTCACCGAGCGGTGTCTCCTTGAATATGGCAACACCGTCAGAAGAAAGCCTAGACTTTCTTTGGGTCAGGTCCGAGCAGTCAGGTCGATCCTTATGTCGTCGGCTGAAGCGGCCACTGTCACATACAACTTTTCCGCATAGAGCACGAAGCTCCGAAGATCGGCCGGTATGGAGATCAAGCCTTGAGGCCTGGGCAATTTGAGCGTCTGGTAGGTGTAGTGAGCTACTGCCATGAACTTTACAAGCATCGGGAGCCCGAGGATGTCGTTGTAAGAGAAGTTGAGTTTGGCAATGTCGAAAACGATGCTTCCCGACCGGTAGTTATCTTTGGTGCCGAAGGTGACCATCAAGGACACGTGCCTGAGCGGCACCGTGACCCCTGGAGTGACGCCACTAAACGACTTCGTCGGTCGCAGGCGCCCTGGGGGCACTTGCATCTTTTCGAAGATGTTAAGGGAGAAGATGTTGAGGCCCACGCCTCCATCCACCAACATGTTGGTTACCTTCATGTTGCAAATCATCGAGGGACCACCGATGGAAGTTGTCCCACCCCATCATGCTCCTGGGGTGGTCATCACGGTTGAATGTGATCGAGATGTCTAAGCATTTGAGCTGTCAGGACGCGTCGATACTTGGGAGCGTGGTGTTTACTTCTCGGGCCAATACATTGAGCTGGTGACGCGTAGTGGGTGCGGAAGCACCTCAACGGATGCACGCCACGGTCTTGCACCCCCAGGGAGTCGAGGTCGTCATCTCAATTACGACGGGCACTTTTGACTGTGAACTGGTGGTGGGCGACGCCTACCAAACCTGCAATCTCCCAGAGCCAAACGCCCATGGGGGATTCCTCTACCATCGTAAAGGAAGGGCGTTGAAGGAGAACATGGATGGTTAATTGCTACCTCCTAGACCGTTCCTTTGTCGGTCACCCTACGGCGAGAAGTCAACTAGGCTTCCCCGATGCACTAGGGTGGTCATCCATGCCGAGAGGACCCTTGCGCGCTGGTGATGACTGGCGTCGCTGACGTTGCCATCGAGATTCGTGCAAGAACATGGCTGAGGTAATCGGGTTCAAAGAAACTGAAGTCATGCCCCCTACCTGGCGTGCTAGATGTCGACGTGTGATGGTCGACATCAGGGATTAAGGTTAATCCCCTTTTTGTTGTTCAACCAAGGCATAACACACTTCAGCAATATTCACGACAAAGACACAAGATTTTTACCAAGGTTAAAGCCACCGCGAGGTGTAACAGTCTACGTCCTGCTCTTCTTCTTGATCTGTGTACAAGAGTGGCTACAAACTACTGCTCGCAATAGCTCTCTTGCTCTTCTCCTAGTTCTAACCTTCAGTTGAGTTTGTCTCTAGAGCTAGCTTTCCCAAGAGTCTAACAAAAAAAGATCCATCCTCTTGCTACGGCCTTGGTCCTCTCCTAATATAGGCCTGGAGGGCACCACATTGGCCTACACCATTCAGTTGCTACACTAAATCTCTCGGGGTACAAAACGGCACCTTCCCAAGCGGACCCGTTAGGCGGTCATGATGAAACAGACAACAGGCTGAGTCGGTTCGCATCGACTCAACCATCGAGAGCTCAGCGCGACCCACGGGATGGTGGCACAAAGCTGAAGCGGACGTGTCGCTCATAGTGGTGCTCATAAGGCACAGCGTACCATGTCCCCCGTGAAGCTGACAATATCACTTTCCTAACTTAATGACTCTACAATGATATGGGAATTTGAAATATCACAGGTCCTGTTCATTTGGGAACCAAAAGGTACATTGTGTAAACTACATTCATATTCGATAAAGACATCCAGAACAACACATATGCACACAACAAGCATATAGGGTCTGCAGGGTGTGTGCCTAATGTATGGGAATATATAATAACTATCAAAACCATCCACGCAAAAAAAAAAACTATCAGAAACCACTTGACTTAAGATGACATAGTTTAGAATTTATAGGATGTACGCTGTTTCTGTATAATATATGTCACAAAGAAGTCAGTTCTCCCCATTCACGCTAATCAAACAGACAGCTCCAGTAAAGGCAACCTTGAGCACACTCCTGCTCCCCTACCACATTGAAACCACAATAGCTAAAGCACGAAGGGACAAACCAAATACGACAAGGGACACCTTCCTGAAGAGGTTTCAGGTCCTCCATGTCCTGTTCTTCAACAATTATTTTGGAAAAATTCGGAATAAGAGCTAGTATGTCTGAACAAGAATCCAAGCCCCTCACAAGAACCAAGAACCCCACAGAGAAACCGAGAATTCAGAATCAAAGCTAATATCTCTGAACCAAAAATTGGAGCACCAAGTCCACAGAAACCAAGAACCCTCTACAGTATCGCAAATTATGACTTCATTAGACAGATGAACCTAGTGAATTAGGCACTTTATATGAATAAACTAATGATTCAAATTAGCCAAAGGCAGAAAAGCGATATGTAAAGACGGAAAGAGGCATGTACGCATCGAGAAATGGGGATTACCTTCTTAGAGGCCTTTGAGAAAGCGTGTCTGCTGTCTCAGGCGCTGCCCTTTTTTCCTCTGGAAGAAATCATGCCTCGAAATGTTCTCCTTGAACCAATGTCCAGTGACGCTTGGATCTCTTGGTTCACATGTTAACTGGTTCAGTACATTTGCTTCAGTATCACAGTGAATAAGCTGGCTAGAACCTCTGCAGGAAATTAGCACATCGCCTTTGTCAGAGAGAATCATGTAACTTCTCATCGAGGATGTGACCACCATTGACAAGTTAATGGAATGCCTTAGCGCCCAGATCTCATTGTTGTAATCATGCAGGGACCAAATGCTCACTGTATCACTTCTGCCATTGTACAAGCTGAAGCCAAGCTGACTGCCCATCTCAAACAAGCGAGTATTTTCTTGGGCGGCAGTCGGAGATTGAATGGATCTGAATGACTCGGCCACCGTATCGAAAACAACCACTTTGTCATGACGGCATGACTCTGGCACCCAGTGAAGACAGCTGTTGAGCATAACTGTTGGCCGATGGCACAGGCTTGGAGTGGGATCGTTGATGCCGTGGAGCAACGCTATCTTCAGATTGTCGGGTTCCTCAGGCAGCTGCACGGGTCTGGGCTCCATTGGTGAGCCGACGGTGAGGATGTAGTACTTGGGATTGCATATGGGGAGTCTTCCCTTGGAAAACAGAGTACGGTACTCCACGCCCCTGTCGGCGGTGGGCGACGAGTACAAGCCTGCAACGACTCCTCCGGTGAGCTGAGGGAGCGGGATCGATTGCCGGGTGGCAGGGTTGCAGATAATGTGGCGACCATTGCCGTATGACACCAACAAGAGGCCATCCAAGGAAGCGCAGAGCCAGTTCGAGTAGCAATCAAAAGTGAGGACAGATCTGAGGTTGTTGGCGGCGGCAAGAACATCCACACACTCGAGGCCAGATTTGTCGTGTAAGCTTTTCAGGGGGTTCGAATACAGACCGACGAGAGGAAGCTTGCGGCCGAAGGAGGAGATGAACTGGTGCGTGGAGGTGCGGTTGCACCAGGAGCGGCAGGCCGCACGGAACCGGAAGAGCGACTTGGCCGGAAGCCGGACGAGGATCTCCCCCACGATCAGATCCTCGGGGAGGGCGACGCCGGGAGAGGAGAGGTGGCGGCGCACCGACCTTGGGTCTGCGGTGGTCCTCTCCATGGTACTCCGCAGGGGCGGCGTCGCCTGTGACCTTCTCCCCGGGCGGCGGCGAGTTTGGGGATTTTTGCTGTGGGGAACAAGGGGAGAGGAAATGGGGAAAATAATTCAGATGCCCCGCTCCCTTTTCTCGGGAGACTACTAGGTGTCGGTCGGCCGTCCCGGATTTGGGCCGGTCGACCGCAGCCGCACGATTGCCTACAGTATTCACCGTTGGATCCGGGCACCCCTATCTCGCATTAAGCATTTGAAAAAAAATGTTGAACAAGTATTTAAAAAAATGTTGAAAAGCATTTGAAAAAAAAATCTTGAACAAGTATTTGAAAAAATGTCGATCATGTGTTTAAAATTTTTTGAAGAGGTATTTGGAAAATTTTGAACAAGTATATAAGAATTTAGAATGAAAAACAAAAATTAACAAAGAAAAACCAAGAAAATGAAAACCGAAAAATAAACAAAATAAACCAAAGGAAAAATGTTGGTCATGATTCAAAAAAAATTAATCTTCTATTTGAAAAATATTAATCAAGGATTTAAAAATGTTGAAAAACGTGTATAGAAAATATGTTGACCACATATTAGAAAAATGTTAAATTTGTACTGGAAAAGTGTTAAACTTGTGTAAGAAAAATGTTGTTGACATATACAGAACATGTAGAATGAAAACCAAAAGAAACGAAGAAAACCAAAGAAATGAAAAATGAAAAAGAAACAAAATAAACCAAAGAAAAGAAATGAAGAAACAAATGAAAAAAATGAAAAAGCAGAGAAAAAAAGAAAAGAAACAAAAGAAAACAAAAAAATATGAAGAAAACTGAATAAAAAGAAAAAATGGTGGAGAAAATCGTCTCTTTTACATTAAGTAGGTCGCGCCCTACATTACATCACGAACTCAACACAGAGCGGGTTTCGAGGGTCGCTATCTCCTATCAAGGAGACCCGGGTTTGATCCTCGAATGCACTTCATCTTCTTCAATTTCTTGTGCTATTTTTACTACCTACGCACGCGCGAATGGGCCAGCCCAATACGACGCGATGGGGGAAAACCTTCAGGGAGAGCAAACTACCGCCTCGCTTAAAGCGAGAAATAGTCGCCGTGGTTGGATCTCCCCACACCTACGTTGTCTTCCTTTCCTTCATCTCTGCATCTCTCCTTCATGTTTACTCCTCAAAAGAAAAGGAAAATACTTCCTTCATGTTTCCCTCGCCTTCCTCACCTGCAACTCCTACACTCCCTCCTCCTCTCGGTGACCGGTGCTACGTGGCCCGGTGGCCGGTGCTCTCCTCCCTTCTACTCCCTCCTCCCCCATAAAACCATTGCAACTTCGTTGTCCACTGTTGCAGCTTCGCCCATCCACGGTTGCCACACCACCGACAATCATTGCAGCTTCAGATAACACCAATTCCAGCATCTTCGCACACTGGTTGCGACATTCGCACTTCAGTTCCAACATCTCTGTGCATCGGCTCTAAGAAAAAACAGATACTCAGGTGGTCTCCGACTACAACAAAAAATTGCCAATTCCAACAAACAACATCATTGGTTTGAGCAAAAAAATGCGACACTGCACCCAATCGCAGCAAAAAAATCTCGCCAGCCCCGGCACAAACTTATGCTGGTTCCAGCAAACAAAATCAACGGTTGCAGCGAAACGATCTTGGTGGCCGTCTGTTTGATATTGGTTGTAGCTTTATCGCCCCACCGGTTCCAGCTTCTCTGTCAGTCGGCGCCAGCAAAATTACTCATTAGTTGCACCACTCGATGAATAGTAATGGTAATAGTAACAATAGCAATTTTATAGCGATTGTAACAACAGCAACAACAAAAATAACTTAGCAAAGATCAATATATGAAAAGCGTAGGCATTTGATCAGTGATGGATAATTATGTTGGATGACATTCATCATGTAACAGTCAGTACCTAGAGCAGTACACAATAGCTCCAATTCATCAATATAATGCAGGCATATATTCCGTATATAGTCATATGTGCTTATAATAAGAAGTTGCATGACATCTTTTGTCCTACCCTCTCGTGACAACAAGGTCCGTAAGGAAATCTAAGAGATATTAAGGCCCCATTTTAATAGAGAATCGGAACAAAAAATTAACACATAGTGAATACATGAACTCCTCAAAATATGGTAATCACAAGAAAGAATCCCCATTATTTTGTCACCTTGGGGGATGCGGATCATAACACGTAATAGGTGCATACAACTTGCAAGATTGGATGAAGAACTCAGATATATTCATGAAAACATAAAGGTTTAGATCTGAAATCAGGGCACTCGGGCCCCGGTGTCAAGTATTCACTACTGCAGGATGCTGCTAACGCGACACTACGATTAGAGACCCTTCGAGAAACTGTGTGCGATGCAATAATCGCAAACGGTGCTGTATGAAAACCGTCAGAAATGATGCAAAACATTTGTGATGGAGGATGCATCAAACACGATTCAAATTTTAGTTGCGTGTGCGATGCAGGACATACGGTTCAGCTCAGTTAACCATTTGAGATGATGAGAAACAAAAGAAATGGGCAGCCAGATGAAGGTGTGTGCGATGTACAACATACGGTTCACTCAGATGCACTGTTTGTGATTAGGCAACACAATAGAAACGGTCAGCAAGATTGAAGGTGTGTGCGATATACGGCATGCGGTTCATTCGGATGACTGTTTGTGTTGAGACATGAGAATAAAAACGGTTCAAATGAACAAGATGTGTGTGATATGAGGCAAACAGGTCTGTAATTAGAAACGTGTGCGAAGACCGATAAGAACATAGACGATTCGTAAGCCAACCGAGACTAAAAGTGAGGGGCATTAGCAGTGGCGGAGCTACACTGTGATTATTGGGGGGGCCAAGGACAAAACACCCAATTTTCAAGGGATAAAATACCTAAAAAATTCAATCCCAGCCTTCTAAAAAAAGTTCTTTACAAAACTAGCCAAGGCTGGGGGGCCATGGCACCTGTAGGTTTGTTCATAGCTCCGCCAGTGGGCATTAGTCCCGATCGTTTTGTCCCGGTTGTAGAACCGGGACTAAAGGCCCTCTAGATCCGAGACTAATGCCCTATATTCTACTAGTGTTTGAAGAATGAAGACACATAGTTGGTGACATGTTGAATAAGCTGTTTGACTCGGCTCACCCTCAAGGAAGCCCATCCCGAGCATTGTGACTGCTAGAGATACGACACGCAAATCAACTCGATGAAGAATGAAAAACAAGCAGGGGACACAAGATTTAACGTGGAAAACCCCTCTAACACGAAGGGAAAAAAACACGGGCGCCAGCCAGCCAAACTTCACTATATCCGGGGAGGTTACAAATGCCGGGGATTTACAACTGAACAACATATTCCGTGCGGCGACTTGCAAGAGGTATATAACACAGGTGAACTAGGTCAATACTGCATTTCCCTTTATATTTGAATTTGGAGCATAACATAACAATGACTATATTTGAACAATAGTCAAACAACACAACTTCATGAAACATGCAAGGACAAATTTATATGCAAGATCCATTTAGTTTTAGAGAACTCAACAACGCACATCAGTTTGAAACATGTTTTACATAGAGCACAATTTTCGTAAATCAATCGAGCCCTCTAGCTAGACTGAAGCAACAACTAGGTCAAACAAGATCATACAAAGATCAATCACGCCATGATGAGTTGAACGAGAGGCCTGGGCCCAGACTTGATCATCCTTCCCAACACCCTTTTATCATGATCCCTCCACTGGCATTCTTGCTGTCCGAGCCCGACCATGTCCCAATCCCAGAGTCCGTCCTATCGAAAATGGCCATCCTTGAGAAGAACAAGGCATTGCAAGGACATGCAAGTGCTCACGAGGTACTTAAGAAGCTGCATTTAGCGTCGGGTGAGCGTAAATCCGATGAAGACCAGCTCCTTCATGTGAGGGTGGCATTGCGTAGGGCTCGCCGTTGACCATATTATCCCGAACGACTCTGGAACCTCCTCCGAGTGAGACACATGGATGTGCAGGACCTCGAGAGATGGCGCCTCCACCAGGAAGACGTCCCAGTTGGAAGGCAGGTCGGCAATAAGGAGCCTTTTCAGGTGGAGCAAAGGCTTGTCTACCGAACCGAAATAACCGGCACCGAAGTCGAATGCACCGAAACCGAAAACTTCGATGCTATGATCGGTTTGCATCTCCAGATAACCGAAACTAGTCCGGTGAATTCGGGTTTATCCCTTGGGAAACCGAACTGACCGAACACCGAGTAAAACAAAGTCCCTCGTAGCAAGGGGACTGACACGGCTCGCACTGCCTAATTTTGTTACTAGCATATTCCAATCATTGTGTTACCTCTTTGACTTATATACGCACATGGACTAGGACAGGTTTTAAGGAAGCCTATCCCGAGCATTGTGACTATATTTGAACAATAGTCAAACAACACAACTTCATGAAACATGCAAGGACATGTTTATATGCAAGATCCTTTTGCTTTTAGAGAACTCAACAATGCACATCAGTTTGTAACATGTTTATATAGAGCCCACTTTTCGTAAATCAATCGAGCCCAAGCAACAACTATATTTTTAAGGACCAACAAGATCATACAAAAATTGATCACGCCAAGATGAGTTGAACGTGAGGCCTAGGCCCAGACTTGATCATCCTTCTCAACGCCCTTTTATTGTGATCTGTCCACTGGCATTCTTGTTGTCCCCCGACCATGTCCCAATCCAGAGTCTGTTGTATCGAACATGGCCATCCTTGAGAAGTTATGGCTAAAAGGGTGTTCTAGGTTGGGTTTGCGGTGATTTGTTGGTCGCTGTGGACTACTAGAAACAAGTTTACTATTGAACATATCTTTCCGGCTAACCCCGTGAGCTGCTTATTTAAATCTAGTGTCTTGTTGCAGTAGTGGAGATTATTGATTAAGGAGGCGGACCTCAAGGCTTTTGATGTTATGTTATCCAAGATGCGATCTACGGCTTCTTCCCTGTTGCGACGATCCCGGA